GACTGAAAAACTAAGCCTGTCCCACTCTGTTTGGTGGGCTAGGCAGATTGGCCCGCTAGCTCGATCCTATTTTATACTGAATCGCTATTAATCCGCAAAAAAATATGTTTGCCCTATTTTTTAAATGGGTTGAAAAACTTAGTCTATTCCATCCGTTTGACGGGTGGGATAAGTTGACCCATCAAGCCGAATCCATTTTCCCGGATACATGGGCATCAGTGGCGGAGCCAAATATGCTCTGGGGGTGGCCTCGGCCCGGGTTAAATTTTAATAGATTGTACATAAGTATATAATTAATTATAATTTGGTCCGGCTAAAATTTATAATTTGGCCCTATCAAAAAAATAAAAAACATTTGGTAAGAGATTTGGATAAACTATATTAAGTTATGTGTTCAATTTTCACTTATATAAATTTTTTTAAATATATTTAATAAAATTAAAAAATATTTAATAAAATTATAATTCTTTTTGATATTGTTTGTTCAGATGTTTTGTATTTAATATAATTTAAATATATTATTTTATGAATTAACTAAAATTAAAAAAAATTAATACACATGCAATTTTTTGGCACAGGCTCCGATTGGAGCCCGGCTCCGCCACTGCCGGGCATATATAATATATACCACCAAATTAACAAAGGATGGAAAAACAATAGTAAAGAGGAAAGGACAAAAAAGAAGGTTTGTTGGGAAGCGAAATGAGTGCGACAATATTTTGGTGCATTTCAAAGCGTCAATGTTTTGTACATCCTTCAAGAACTTGGCAACGAAGATATCAAGAAGAAAATATAAGCCTTAATTACCATTTGTTAGCTTTTATGCTTTTTCATTTATACCTGCTATGAGTATTCCTTACACTTCTTATAGTCCTCAACAACTGGATGAGGTTCAATTCTCTAATGACAAGCAATTTGCCCTACATGGAAAGATTATGCTGCTGGTGGTTGTTATCGTCTTCTTTCTTTTCATGGTGTTCATCTTCATGATACCGTATCTGAAGAAGCGTTCTAGGGGTTCTCATGAATCTGAAATAGATGTAGATTCCATTGAAGGCCAGAAGAATCCTTTTTGAGGAACTGCTTTGTCTTCCGGTGAAGCAAGATAAGTGCTTGAATTTCATGTTAATTAACAGTTTAAGATGAGTGTATAGATGTGCAGAACTTTTTGTTGGTTATATATATATATATATATTGGACTCATAACCCTAATTATTCCGAGTTAGTTCCCAAATATCCCCACAATCCGGGAGGGAGAAAGAGGCTGCACAGGACTTGTTGGTTATATTGGTAATTTGTGGTGGTGACTACTCTCTCTTCCATGTCTATGTCACACGGCACCTTAGGTTGTGCAAACATGCAACTAGTTGAACCATATCAACATGCTTATGGTGTGTGTCTATATAGCATGTTGTGTGTCTGTATATATATATATAAGAACAAGACGATTTAATCCAATTTCGGGTCCGAGTCTTTTCACTCTCTTTAGGAGTTGCTGACTCTGGAAAATCAATCTCACTGTTTTGAGTGAAGTTATTGTGGTCCGGGAGTTCAAAAAATTGGATGGGACTGAAGTGAGAGAAAGAAAGAAAAAGTTGAGGAGAGAAAAGAGAAAACTGTATTTTGGATAGGTCAAAGCTTGGTATCTAGCTAGCTAATATATTTATTTTGTATTACTTGTAATGTAGGAGGAACCTAAAGAGTATCTGGGATCCTTAAATCGTTCATCAGTTATCTGTTGTGTTCTATTTTATTTTTTACCTCCAAATTACTGAACATCTATATATATTTTATTGATATACTTGTCTTGTTTGTTTTATAGTTGAATGTGCTAATTTTTCATTTGGAAATGATTGTTTTAACCTACTTTATTTACTTTACTTTATTTACCTTTTGTTTTCTATTTGTTCAGGAAAATCAAAACAGTAACTATGGTTTGGTTTGATTTCAATTTTAGAAGAACTAAATCACAAAAGAAAACTTGTTTTTGAATATTTGTTTCTTATTTGATTATCTCAAAAAATTGATTTATATAATATTGAATATTAAATTAGATTTTGATCCATTAGACTTAGTAGTTATTTGGTCCGAATATATTTAGGAGTTGTTTAAGTACCTAATTTTTAGAATAGTCTATTCTAGACCGCTACACGAGAGTTCTAGAGATTTGTTGCACCTACGTAGGAGATTATGAAAAATTCTAGAAAAACACTTGTAGCCTTTAGATAAAAAATGTGTTAATACAATGCACCATTAATATAAATAAGTGTGTTCTTCACTATTTTGTATTAAGGAAAAAAGAAGAGTATTGAGAAGAAATAAAATTAAACTCTTTCATCAAAGTTTTTTTAAGTTTTCTCCAGTCTCAAATATCCTCCTTTCAATATATACTTAGATTTTACAACAGAAAAATAAGAATACATCATAATTTTTTAAAATAATAGGAGTGGATAATAATTTTGTTAAAATTAGAAAAATAGAAAAATTCTTATAATTAAAAATATTATTTTTAAAAAAAATTACATCAGATATCCAAGAGTTTAATTGTACATGGAAAAAGATAAAAATTTAATTTTACATCACTCTACATTATATTCCCTAAGGAGGTTAACCTAAGCTGACTGTGCAAATTAAATAGTTTTAAATATTTATTTTCTCTCCTTTTGAAATAAAAATAGATGTAAAAAAAGAAACTTTATGAAACTTTAGTTTTAATTTGAGTGAATGAAATTAATCTTGTTCTTGCATATCTTTTTGATGCCATGAAAAATTCTAAGTTATATTATTTTTAAAAAAATAATTGTTGGGTGGTTAATTTTAACAAACTACTTGACCATTAGAGACCAAGTCCCTCTAACGATATGAAAATCTTAATAAATATTTATCAATCTAAATTTGCAAATAATGTATGAAAAAATCGTAACGATCAGAATAATTACACACAATAAAAATAAAAAGAGAAAAAAAGCGAGAAATGTAAGACTGGTCCAAGCAAGTCAATCACTATTTTTTTTTTTTACTTTATTCGTTAGAATGAATTCAGTTATAAGGAAATATATATAGATTAAAAAATCCTAAAGCCACGATACTAAATGCGGAAAATTATGTATCCAAAAAAAAAAAATGCGGAAAATTATAAATAAATTCGAGACATAAAGCAATATAAAAACTCCACGACCACTGATATTGCACCTCCACTCGGTTGGACCTCATTGGCTTTATTTCGTGACGCAAACATGAGCCATACTTTTTTTTAACAAAAATAAAATAGAAATAGAAATAAAATTTATAAATAAAATATGTGAGAATCCATTGCCAGCTGAAGATACCAATTGTGTGGTGCGATATGTGTACGTGAGGGGCAGTGAACGTGCCAAAATGAAACTGATCAGAGCATTTTCGACTATCGTTGTACTGAATATTAAATAAGAGAAAAATGTTTATCCTTTTAAATAATACAACTTATATTATTTCACTCTCATAAAAAAGTGGGATCCACATCTTTATTTGTTTGTCAACTCTCTCTCATTCTTTATCTATTTCTTTCTCTCTCTTAAAATGACATAACTTTACATCCTTTAAAATGATATACATTTTTTTCATTAAATAATGACAATAATTTAAAATAAAATTATATATTATATATTTTAAAAAACATATAATTATAATATTAAAATTATATTTTTTTTTCTCTTTCAAAACAACATGTTAGTTAATGTGAAACACTCCTATTTTTTTTGGAGCAGTTATCATTTAACATGACACAAGAAAGTTTCTTACACACGTAATATTTTATGGGATTCACATTTTTTGAAGCAAAAAAAAAAAAATTACGGCATGCAAAACAAATTTCTATAACATTACAAAATCATTTTTCCTACAATATAAATATAAGTCTTATAAAACCTTTTTTTTGGAAACTAAAACGCGAGACAATGAACCCTTTGGCCGCTGTGTCTGCATACGTCAATCAGTGTATGAATGAAGTAATGGAATGGGGAGCAGCTTACCTTTTTTTTCTGTTTGTGCCTGAAAAATGCTCAGTGTACGGTCTATTGGAAAGTCGCAATAAATATAATTAATGGGTTTGGCAGTAAGGACATTCAGTATGTGAGTGTTTTTATTAAAATATTTTTTTTAACCAACAAAGCAAAATTGGCTGTTTACACTTTGTTATTGATCAGTCAATTATTAATTACCGAACTAAATGAATTGTTTACCAATTTAAGAACTTGCTACAAGCTTACCAAGAACACATTATCCCCCCGGTAATCAATTTATCTATCCTATGAACCAATAATTAATACATTATTATCTGGTATGAAATGGAGTAAGAATATTAATGTGCAAGAATTTTTCATAAACAAAAATGAACTACTTTTTCTTGGGGGAAAAAAAACCTGAAGTGCCCAAAAGGCATCAAAGAAATTCATCAAGAGAAAGTTGAAAGTTTTAGGCCCAAAAATTAACGGAAAATAATTTTTTTATGTTGCATGAAAATAATTATATCATGTTATAGAAACAAAATTATAAGTGGAACTCACAGATAAGAAGATAGAGAAAAAAAGAGAGGTAAGACTCACTCTTCTTTTGTGTGTGTAGAAAAATTATTTCTCCCATGCAAAATAAGATAAGTATAACCCAAAACTAAAACATGATTTTTCACCTTCATTTTCTCAAAGATAACAATTGCCGAATATTGATCTTTTGACTTTAGTTCCAACCTTTGCATTTTCCGCTATCCTTTTTCTAATTATGGCAAACTAAATTTGCTTGGTCTAACAAAAAATTTATGTTTCTATTTCCTAAAAGGTATATGTTAAGATACATTGCTATTTACAAATTCATAACATTTTCGATTCCGGGTAAGAAAATCCACAAAAAGTGTTGAGATCGGTTGAGCTATCCAGATTAAAATTTCACATTTTCCTAAAAGGGAAGATCAAAACAAAAATAATGTAAAGGTTATAATGTGACATCCAACGCTGGATCAACCAGGAACACAACTAGACTAAAAATTGCACTGTCTGCATTATAATAGAATTGATAAATGAAGATACACTACAAGCACCAATCTTTTTTTTGTGTTAACAAGACAGTCTGTTTCTTTAGTAGATTGAAACATGTAGAGAACTAGAACTAATTCCTAAACTTGCCTACTTTGTTACTACAATATGCTTAAATCAGAAAACAATAGTCCCCACCAATATGGAAGTGAGGGGAACTGTGAGGTTATCATCAAGCTCTGTGCTGATAGGAAGGGACTCCACAAATGCTGTGACAATAGACACAATTAGAAAACCCAGAATCATTTCCCAGCTTCCTTCTATAAATCCAAATGAGGAAAAATACCACATATACCTGTTAGAACACTAATGGTTAGTAGGTAGATAAATTAAGTTGATTTTCACTTGAAGGGGAAAGTAAAATAAAGCAACACAATTCCACAGAAGGTTACCCAATAGAAGCTAAGAATCCAGCAGATGCCATTGCAATTGAACCAGCATAGGACTTGTTTTTATTGTAAGGTATCTTTTTGCCACCAAATCTCCTTCCAATAACGTCAGCCATACCTGAAACAGCATATTAATAGGATAAGGCTTCTCTCTCTTTTCTTTTTTCTTTTTTTTTTTTTTTTAATTTTAATATTATTTTTTTTGAAAGACTTCTAATGTAGCTAAAACATTGCCTAATTCCAATAAATAGGAATACAAGTAATTGGCTGTGGGAACATTACCATCTCCTGCACACAGATTGCATATTGCAGCAATGGAAATAGGTGAAGTTCTCCAGTAAATTATGCATGCCAAAGTAATAGTTGAGGCATAATACAGTGGTCCTTTAAGAAGCTCCCTGGTGCAGAGGAAAAACTGAGAACAGATCAAGAAATAATTAAAGACATATAATCAGTTATCAATCATTGGAAATTCAAATAAAATGTTTCATTTTCATTCTCAAGAAGGACATCTCAAAGCCCAAACGTCTAGCCTGGTTGGTAATTTATACCATAAACCATACCTTTTTTTTTATGTACAATAATTACAGATAAGAAACAGTGAAATATATTCATTTTGTATCAGGTCTGGATTGATCAGAATGAGCTCAACCCCCTATCAGGTCTAGAGAGAATCAACTGTAGAATGAGCAAACTATTAATTGTTTCACAGATTCAAATATTCTCAGAGGCATTCGTGCCTACAATATTGCAACCTGTAATCTCCAAATCTGCTCATTGCTTTCACTGTGGCCTCATCTTTATATATTCCAAGTCCAGTAATAAGCATCCTAATTATATTGACTCCCGGAATAAGAGCAGCTAAGATTGATGCCCAATTGTCAGTACTGTAATTATTGAAGAAAGGTCACTCAACAAGGGAAATAGTAACATAACTATGAACAAACTCATAATTCATAAACTAAACAATTACCTGAATAGTGGCCAGCACAGCATGAATACGAGCCCAATGCTTATATGTACAAGTTTCCTATTCAATTTCTAAACACGGAAAAATTGTTGATGAGAATTCTGCAGATGTAAAAACAATGCACATTTAGAACATACAAAACAGCACTAAGTGCTAGTTCACAATGAAAAATAACCGAAACAATGTACATCTCTTTACCTATGAAATGGCAGACAGCAGTCTTAAAAAGAGAGTCAAGCAACTAAGAATTTCATTAGCATGATAAGGGGTGGTAGCAAAAAGAGGAAAAGTCTAGAGAAGTGGTAAAGTTGTTCTTTGTGACTGAAAAGTCATAGGTTCGAATTCAGAAAATAACCTCTTTACAAATATGCAACAAACAAGAATTGCTCTCACACTTAGTCTCGCTAGACAGGGTTTATTGGAGAGTGATGGATAGGGATGGTAGCAACACTATTTGTACAAGCTCCAACAATATATCTTGTAAAGAACCAATTCAATCCAAAAGCTTAAGCTGTTGGGTGAGGCTACATTAATGGTTTTATATATCTCAACACGCCTCCTCACACGAAAGCCCACTGGACTTGAAGGGTGGACAATGCACAGGTCCACCTACCTGTGCGAACAAAGAAATTTCACTTGAAAGAAAGTGGAGGGCGGCGAAGATCGAACCCGGGACACGAGGCTCTGATACCATGTAAAGAACCAATTCAACCTAAAAGCTTAAGCTGTTGGGTGAGGTTACATGAATGGTTTTATATATCTCAACATATCTCAACCAACATGAGTGCCAATACGAACATGCTATGTAGTACTCACAGGGTCAGGGCAAAGGATGGGAGTAGCCATCTCCATGATATAACAAGAAAATCATATTTTTTTTCAGGTCTAAGCTTCACTGTGATCTCTAAATTTGTTTTACTTAAAAAAAAAATCCACCTTTCATCTTCTTTTAAATGGCATTCCTCAAACAACAAATTTAATTTAAATTCTAACATTCCTTCTCAGGAAGCTAGGATCACATACATTCATTCCAAAAATATGGGAAATACTTCATTAATGCTTATCTTGCCATCGTCCCAACACAACAGTGGACAATAAATTGCAAGAAAATTTTGATCTCCAACAAGCCCCCATTGTTAACCTCATACCAAAACTAAAAATTGAATCTTTCAGGACTCAGAAAATAAACTTGAGAATAACTGAGGTCCATGTTTAGTTAAATAAAGACCCCCCAAAATGCACAGAGCCAACACATTAAGAGTTTAAGACCCACCTGGTCAAAGAGTCCTCGTTTTGCAGTTTCTTGCCACAATCTAAGGATGGAAAGGGCCACAACGCCAGAAAGAGCGGTGGCACAAATGTCGGAGACTAGAGGGTCGTGGTGCAGCATGGTGGACGGCGGAGAAAAAGAGGTGAGATTCCGGCGAGATGGGGGTCGTTGTGGTGGAGTGGTAGCAGAGAAAAATGAATAACAAAAAGGAGAAGAAGAAGAAGAAGATATAAGGGGGAAAGTGGGTTTGAGTTTGGAGAGAAATGGGGCAGAAGAATGGGAAATGGGTCTAATGGGTGTGAGTAGAAGAGGCACGGAAACATAAGCAACAGGGTCAAACCTTTGGAAGACGATGTTCCTAAACATGTTGAGACTCTGAGAGAGACAGAGTTTTCCTTTGATCAAAAGGTAGATGATTGGTTTGTGTGCAGCCAGATTTCGACACTTGGCTCAGACCCTATAGTTAATGAACTCATTAAATAATTATTTTTCATCCCCAGACAATATTTATATATTATTTTTGGGTAAAGTATCTTTACAGTCGCATCTATTTTGGCAATACATTAAGTTATTTTTGGGGTAAGCATCAAGGTAGAAATCAAAATATTTTTATAATTTTAATTTATAATAGAATTATATTATTTTTTATTATTATAATTTTTTAATTCAAAATAATATCATTTTAAGTTTATTAAAAATTATTTTATCTACAGTGATATATTTTCAATATAAATATTTTTCAATAGTCCTTTTTTTTTGGTACAAATATAATAATAGTCATTTGACAGCACGTGATTGTTAACATTAAAATAAAAAAGTAGTGGTTAGCGATTTTTGTTTTACGAAGGTAAGAAGTCAGGCAAAACCGCAAAAGCACCACATTGCTATTTTTTTGCAAATTTTTTTCATGTTTAAAGCATATCTATATCTGAAAAGTTTTATTATACTAGAACAGTCAAATGCGTCATTTGAATCATCTGATTTGACGCGTTTAGTCCCGTCAACAAAATTGACGCGACTTGGTTCCATGTCAACAAACTTGAACAGCTTCATGCCACGCGGGGTATTGTTGTTGAGTGCCGTCACACAAATTGACGGGATCACTTGTATCCAGTGTTTTAAAATCCCGCCTCACTCCGGGGTTGACTCCTCCGGGTCACCGACCCCTTCTCTCTGAGGATTCGAGTTAGTAGTTAGATCCTACCAGCATGTTGACCCCTCTAACTCCCGAAATCCACTGGTTGAACCCTTGACTCCAGGGTCAGACGGATCAAAGGGGTCACTGTATTTTTTTTTTTAAAAAAAATTATACACAAAATAACATTATTTGATGTGTAAAAAAAAACTCGTTATTGTCTAGATTTAGAACTAGATCTAAAATATGAATCGTTCTTCTTCTTCTTTTATGATCTTCTCTTCCTGACTTAGACCCAGTCTTCCTGTTCCATGATCTCCTCCACCGTGCTGGTTCGTCTTTTCCCACCGTTAATTTGTCGTGTCGCCGTCTTTCCTCCGCTATTATCTATTGGGTAAGGGATATCCTTTCACATACTATTGTAGGTGCATAAGAAGAATAAGAAGGGCCTAAGTTTGATGATATAACTTTTCATTAACTTCATTGGAACATGTGTTTTATACTTTGATAGTTTGATTAGCTTGTGAATATTGATTTGTAGATGTAATTAGCTGAATTATGTTAAGTATATTTTGAATCTTTAGTGAATGGTGGTCTGATTTTTTTTGAATTTTTCATATAGAATATATATTTATTTTTTTAATGTACAAAACCGGGTCAGCGAAGTGATCCCGTGACTCCCGGTTGAACCCGTGACCCCTGGCCTCGGCCGGGTCGATGGCCAGGTCAGATTTTTAAACATTGCTTGTATCAAATAAATTGACGACGTGATAACATCACCACCGTCCACTTAAAAAATGCCATGTGTCAGACATGTCACATATATTGACGGATCTCTTCCCTTATTCTCACAACGACCCTTTCTCCCTTTGTAGATTCATTTTTTTACTCTCTCTCTCAAAATTTTCTCTTTCTTCTCTCTAAATTCCTCAACCTCTCTCTCTAAAAGGATGCCTCTCTTCTTCACTCAAATTCTCCTCCCTGCAGTTGCCCAGGTACACTTGTGTTTAATTTAATTTTTATTTATTTTAATTGTCTTTAAAATTTTGTTATATAATTTAGTTATTAGTTATTACATTAGGAATAAAAAGCTATTGTAGAATATAATATAAATCTTACGTTAAATTTTCTTTTAAAAAATTTCTTAGTGTACAATGTAATTTTAATTAAATAGTAATTATACCCTAAGATAGAAATCATATAATAAGGTAGTAATTAAATTAGTAAATAGTAATAAATGTAATTAATATATAATTAGTGTTTTTTATTTATTTTAGTTGTCTTTAAATTTTTGTTATTTAATTTAGTTATTAGTTATTCCTTATTACTTATTACATTAGGAATAAAAAACTATTGTAGAATATAATAAAAATCCTAGATTAAAGTTTCTTTTAATAAATTCCTAGTGTACAATGTAATTTTAATTAAATAGTAATTATACCCTAAGATAGAAATCATATTATAAAGTAGTAATTAAATTAGTAAATAGTAATAAATGTAACTAATATATAATTAATGTTTTTTATTTATTTTAATTGTCTTTAAATTTTTGTTATTTAATTTAGTTATTACTTATTACTTATTACATTAGGAATTAAAAGTTATTGTAGAATATAATAAAAATCGTAGATTAAAGTTTCTTTTAATAAATTCCTAGTGTACAATGTAATTTTAATTAAATAGTAATTATACCCTAAATAGAAATCATATTATAAGGTAGTAATTAAATTAGTAAATAGTAATAAATGTAATTAATATATAATTAATGGTTTTTTTATTTTAATAGTCTTTAAATTTTTGTCATTTAATTTAGTTATTAGTTATTAGTTATTACTTGTTACATTAGGAATAAAAAACTATTGTAGAATATAATAAAAATCCTAGATTTAAGTTCAAAAAAAAAATCCTAGATTAAAGTTTCTTTCAATAAATTCCTAGTGTACAATGTAATTTTAATTAAAGAGTAATTATACCCTAAGATAGAAATCATATTGTAAAGTAGTAATTAAATTAGTAAATAGTAATAAATGTAATTAATATATAATTAATGTTTTCAATAAATATTAAATATAAATTAGGGTACCATAGTATATAAAGTATTTAGCTAGGTAATTAATTAGAAATTCAATGGTTAAATAATAATTTTAATTAGTGTTTTAAGTAATTAAAAATTATATTTAAAGATAGCCTAAGATATAAAACGTAATTAAGAAAATATTGAAGTAGCAATGAAATAATAAATAATAATTATAATTAGTATGTTAATTAAATATTAACCTTAGGATAGAAAATTATATACTAAAAAAATAATTAGTAATGCAATAATTACTTAGTAATTATAATTCATGTTTAGGCTAAATAATAAATATAATTTATGAAAACAAATTTAGTAAACTGAATTATGAAACTTTAAATTAGAATAGAAATGATTAAATATTAATTTTAATTTAGGCCCCATAATTAAGAAAATAATGAAGTAGTAACGAAATAATAAAATAATAGTTATAATAAATATATAATTAGTATTTTAATTAAATATTAAACCTAGAACAGAAAAATATTTACTAAAAAATTAATTAGTAATAAAATAATTACTTAGTAATTGTAATTCATGTTTAGGCTAAATAATAAATACAATTTATAAATTCTTTTTAAGTAAACTGAATTATGAAACTGTGAATTAGAACATAAATAATTAAATATTAATTATAATTTAGGCCCCAATAAATAAAAATAACGAATTATTAATTAAATAATAAAATAATAACTATAATTAGTATATAATTATTATTTTAATTAAATATTAACCCTAGGATTGAAAATTGTTTACTAAAAAAATTAATTAGTAATGGAATAATTACTTAGTAATTATAATTAGTGTTTAGGCTAAATAATAAATACAATTTATGAAAAAAAAAATTGGCGAAACTAAATTATGAAACTTTGAATTAGTATAGAAATGATTAAATATTAATTATAAATTATGCCCCTTAGTTAAGAAAATAATGAAGTAGTAATTAAATAATAAAATATTAATTATAATTAGTATAATTATTATTTTAATGAAATATTAACCCTAGGATAGAAAACCATTTACTAAAAAAATTAATTAGTAATGCAATAATCACTTAGTAATTATAATTAGATTTTAGTCTAAATAATAAATATAATTTATCAATTTTTTTTTTGGAAAACTGAATTATGAAACTTTGAATTTGTATAAAAATGATTAAATATCAATTATAAATTAGGCCCCATAGTTAAGAAAATAATGAAGTAGTAATTAAATAATAAGATATTAATTATAATTAGTATATAATTATTATTTTAATTAAATATTAACCCTAGGATAGAAAATCATTTACTAAAAAATTTAATTAGTAATGCAATAATCACTTAGTAATTATAATTAGTTTTTAGTCTAAATAATAATTATAATTTATCAATTTTTTTTTTTGGAAAACTGAATTATGAAACTTTGAATTAGTATAGAAATGATTAAATATTAATTATAATTTAGGTCCATAATTAAGAAAATAATGAAGTAGTAATTATATAAAAAAATATTAATTATAATTAGTATATAATTATTATTTTTATTAAATATTAACCCTAGAAAACCATTTACTAAAAAACTTAATTAGTAATGCAATAATTACTTAGTAATTATTAATTTTTTACGTACATAATAATGTTAATTAAAGAAAGGCTACGATAGAAAGACGTTTTAAAAAATAATTAGTTTATTCATTACTGTTTTAACTATTGTTTTAATATTATTTAACTATTCAATTATTTGTAATTTTGTATTAGTTACATGGCTGATCAGCACCCCCGCATTGACCCTGGTCCAAAAGAGTGGGGCGTACTCGATCACGTTGTGCAGCAGTCACACTGATCCCAAGTCGTGTGGAACGAGGGACATTTCAAGTCCCTGAGGGTGAGGTGAGCTTCTGAGGGTAGGGGCAACAGAAATGCACACAACCTATATGATATCCCCCTGAATTTACAACACCACCTCATTCGTGCAGGTTTTTTTGCAGCGTCTCGCATGAGGCGATTATCGGTATGTTTTACATTCCCTTTAACTGTAGTCATTTATTTTATAACAATACGGATAAAATAAGACCCGTATAATTAACTTAATAATTTTTTTATTTGGCAGATTGACCATCGACTTGTTACTGCATTGGTAGAGAGGTGTAGGCCGGAAACTCACACATTCCACATGCCTATTGGAGAGATGAC